TTAAATTCTCAATTTATTCATTCACCTAATTATTACCAAATGCCTACTAGGTGAACACAGAAATTAATGAGGGATACCCTACTCTAAAGAAAGTCAGCTATAGACTATCAGATTTCAAATACCCCTAAAGCTCATGAAAGTACATATATATATAAAATTATATCAGATTTTTTTTCTGTACCAATATCTACTCTTTGAATCATCTGTAATAATGTGTGCCTTAGTTTTCCTAACCCAATTTGCTAATAACATTTATTTTTTATTCATTGTACAGATTAATATTTTGTGAATAAATATTACACATTTTCTTAATATTCCCACAAAATTACCTCATAAAAGTGGAATTATTGGGTTAAGGAAACATATATTTAAAAACATTTTTATTTTGGCAAATGCCCTAAAAAGGGGGTTGTATCCTTGACAAAACTATTATCTCAGGGATGCCTGGGTGGCTCAGTGGGTTAAGCCTCTGCTTTCAGCTCAGGTCATGATCTCAGGGTCCTGGGATCGAGCCCCACATCGGGCTCTCTGCTCGGCAGGGAGCCTGCTTCCTCCTCTCTCTCTCTCTGCCTGCCTCTCTGCCTGCTTGTGATCTCTGTCAAATAAATAAAATCTTAAAAAAAACAAAACAAAACAACAACAACAAAAAACTATTATCTCCTCTCTGCCTTGCCTTTGTCACTGAACATTAGATAATTGATATGATGTGTAAAATGATATTTATTTTCTTTCCAACAAAGAAAGCTTTTCATTATTTTCTTAGAGATAAATTAACTTTTTATCTTGTAAATATCCATGTACTTTCTTTCACCACCTTTCTATCGGGATTTTTGTTGTTTTCTTATGGATTCTAAGAACTCTTTCTGCGTTAAAGACATTGCTGCAAAATGCACGGCAACATTTTCTCCACTACCCTACTTGTCCCTGTACTTTACTTTTTCATGTTGCACAGAGATTATTTTTTAAGATGTTAAAGCTATTACTCTTTTATTTTACAGAGTCTGCCCAAAAATCTACATGCTTTCCCCCACCTACACATAAATTAAAAAAAAAAAAGTGTATGATTTGTCTGCTTTCTCGTTATTTCTACTTAAGTCTTTGGTCTCATAGACACTTCTTTTAGAAAATTCTCTGGTATAAATATCTACCTCATTTTCCAATTACTTAATCAATTAGTCAATACTGTATTTTGACTAACCCTTCTTTCTCACTGAAAATGCTGTCATTTCAAAGTTCCGTAAAACCGAAGTCTTGTCTAAAGTCATCCAGCCAGACTGTGGCAGAGCCAATGTTTGACTGCAAGTTCAGTGCTTTATTTGTGTAGTGGCAAAGAACATGGTGCTGGGATCAAAGAGAACCACATTTGACTGAGACACACCTGGGATTTCACTACAACCACGTTACCTTGAGTAGAGTACTACTCCAGCTCCTAATCTGTTTAATTATCTACCTATCTAACTAATAATCTAATTAATTCTACCTACCTCATTCAACTGTGTAAAATCACATCCTCCAACTTATTCATTCAGTGATATTTATTAAAAAGCACACTATGAAAAAAAAAGCACACTATGTAATAGACATTTTTAGACCATTTGTAGAGACAAATTATTTGACTTTGTTGAATTCAAATAATGACCTATAATCCACTCCCAGCATTTCAATCTGCCCTACACACTCATCATTGGTAGAAAAGATTGGCTTTATTTTTTTTTTAAAGACTCAAAGTATGAAGAAAAAGTCCATAAGTGCATAGTGTATGTTCAGTCATCAATGGCTGTAGAAGGGAAATTTTGTAAATGAGTGACCATATTAAGAATTAATTCTTACCCATGTAATTTTCCTTATTAAAAATAGATAATAAATTATCTTTAAACATAATCTTCACTGTTCAGTGAAGCTAAGAGAATTTTTTGAGTATGTGGATAGATTAAGGGGAGAGAGAGGAAAAAAATGCCCACATTTCCCTGTCACAAGGAAAAGGCTGGCATATGCATGGTAAAGAAAAGCAGCTAATGGGACACTTGGGTGGTCTAGTCAGTTCAGTTAGGCCTCTGACTTGATTTCTGCTCAGGTCATGGTCTCAGGGTCTTTGGATCACGGAGTGTAGGGCTCTGCACTCAGAGGAGAGTCTGCTTGAGATTCTGCCTTTCCTTCTCCCCCGTCCCTCCCCTCCATGTGCGTGCATGTGCGTGTACCTACTATTTCTGTCTCTAAAATAAATAAATCTTTCAAAAAAACACAGTCCTCTCAGATTCATCAAGTTATTTTGATTCAAAATTTGTTAATTTTGATTCAAAAACAGTTTCCTTGCCACATGAATTCTGAGTACTTACAGTTGCTTAAGACACAAAAGTAGCACATAATCCCAATCTGTGGGATTATGTTCCCAATTTGGGTTAAATGTTGATTTCTTAGTCCCCAGCAAAGTGCTTGGAATCAGCACAAGTGATCAGAACAGAGACTTCCATATTTGATGCCTGCTTCCCCTGCTCACATGTTACTTAACCTTCCGGCACTTCAGATTCCTCAGCTATAAAATCAGGCACAGTAACAGTAACGCCTGCATGGGATTATCATGAGAATTAAACAAGTTAATATTTGTGAAGTGTTTGGAACAATACTGGCACCCTAGCATGTGCTCTATAAATATTGCCAAATAAATTAACACATGACACTTCCTTTGTGGCGTCTTCTCTGACCAAGCTACATATATCCCTTTTACATACCCCATAGTACCAACCATCAGGCATGTACCCAAATTTTAGTAGTATATTTATTCTTATAATAATATGACTATCTATCTTTCATCACCAAAGACAGAAATATGAACTTATTGGCATCTTGTATATTGCTATGATGTATAAAAAGATTATTCAAAGATCACTTTTTCTTTAATATATTAATGTAATAAATTCCCAAACTGATTTTTTTTTCTTTTATGGCTCTTTGGTTAATATTTGGTATAATCTACAAGCTCAGTTAATTAAATCCCTTTAAGAAAACCATCTTTGGGGGCGCCTGGGTGGCTCAGTGGGTTAAGCCTCTGCCTTCGGCTCAGGTCATGATCTCAGGGTCCTGGGATCGAGTCCCGCATCGGGCTCTCTGCTCGGCAGGGAGCCTGCTTCCTCCTCTCTCTCTCTCTGCCTGCCTCTCTGCCTACTTGTGATCTCTGTCTGTCAAATAAATAAATAAAATCTTTAAAAAAAAAAAAAAAAACCATCTCTGCATCAAATAATTGTGGGGCTAGCCTTCTTCGCATGCTCAGATTTCTTAACAAATGTCAAGACCACATTGTGATTTGACCGGAAACTGTAGCCTTCACTGCAAGGCTCTCAAAGGGATCTTTAGTTGTTGTCATATAAGTATCATCTCAAGGGTCCATCATCTTTAGAACTATTACACTTATTAATAACATCTCTACTCAGTTGTGAAAATGACATCTGATTGAAAGTGGGATTGCCTGGCTTGCAGACATAAGGCTTAACATCTTTCTACTTACATATTTTTACTCATTTTGATACGCCTGAACCCAGACCAGTGGCTGGCTTATGAATGAATGAAGCTCAAAAAGGCATAAGAAAAAGTTACTCATGAATCAAACCCAGATACCTCTTCACGGTGCTTTAGAAAAGAAAAGTAAATCCCTTCAAGCTCAAACTTCTACAGTTATCTTGGGGAAAAAAAAAAGATTTTTTTTTAATTGCCTAAAGTCCTCATAGTTCCTTGTTAAGCTCTGGCTATATCAAGAAGTATAAAACCATGACTAAAATATTCACACTCTAGTCCCTATTTAAAAAAAAGAAAGAAAGAATCACTAGTTTATTCATCTTGGCTAATGACACAGAAGGGCAAAACAGGTACCCAAACAATGAATAATAATGTAAGAGCTCAGACTGTAAAAATCAATACGTCAGATCAGTAGAGCTGTGCTTCGTTTTAATGTTCTCATCCCTGAATGCGGTAGAGCTTACCTTCTGAATTATACACATGTATTGACCTAATTACATAAATATTGACTTTTTCTTATATGAACATTTTTTTCAATCTCCCTCTAATTACAATGTCAATATTTATGGCTGTAGCAACACTGAATTTAAACTTTATTGTGACTGATAGTGGCATGCCATGAGATATTTCAGATGGCCACATGGTCTCAAAACGTTGCAGGTACTACCTAGTAAATAAGTCAGTAATTTCCTACATATATCATAATAAGGTAAGTTTCTTTAAGAAAATGATTATTTAATCCCCAATAATTTGGGGGCTGGTCTCCTCAGCTTCTCAGGTTTCATAGCACAAAAAGTAATAACCAGGATCTGGATCTTGGTCTATAATTTTACCTACTTTTATTTTTTTTACTCAAACACTTCATTCTTAACTTTAATCTCCACCCTATTAACAAATTCTTTGCTCTGTTGACAGATGTCTACAACCATCCTCATAGCCATGGATGTGTGTAAAGGATATCATTTAATATTTATTATTCTTTGATCTTTTTCCAATAAGGAACATATACATAGTTCAGTCTAAAACAGAATACAATCAGTATAAGTTCTACTTTTTAAAAATGTCCTAATTATTTCTCCTTACATGGTTTTATTTTCACTAGAAAGATTTCACACAGTTACTGCAATTGTTGTTACATCTCTGAGGCAAGCAATAGTGCCATACCTCAGGACATTTTAATTAAATTTCTTTTTTTTTTTTTAAACGAATCAGTGGCATTAGGAAAATATTCCAAGTGCTTTAAAAACCTGGAGAGCTTTTCATTTTGCTTTTGTAATATTTTTGAGAACTCCCACTCAAGGGCCTGTGCTCTCTCTAATTTAAGAAGAGCAGAAGTGCCTGTGGCACATTAACCATTTAGAGTTAGGCGAACGCGTGGGGAAGGCTAGGATAAAACAATGGCGCCAACATTTTGGGTTTAAGAGCTGTTCTAGACACATCATGGGGAGCTGGTCATGCATTATCCTGTGTTTTCTTGTTTGCTTCTGCAGGGATGCCCGAGGACGTGAACCTCAGTGACGTAAAGCAGACCCATCAGACAGGCCGAGGTAGTAGGTTAGATACAACGGGAGCAGGATGTTCCACAGCAACTGAATCTACGGCATTTATGCTGCTGGGTGTGGTAATGTTCCTTCCTTGGCTTTGGTAACTGAACTCTTCCACCCTGATACACCTGTCTTCTTGGAGTCCTAATTTCTCCCCTGTCTTCACCTGATTGGGATAATAAGTCTTTGTGAATGTAACAATTCTATTTATGAAAAGGTATGTCACACTCACTTCTTATAAGCCAAGTGGGAATGTTCACAAAGTATCTAGAAATGATAGGCTGTTTGAAAACATGTCTTCTAGGATTCTAACTTAAGTCTCCTTCAATTCTAATGTATTAAACCTGCCAATGTGAAGAGCACAGAAGAGACTTTGAATACAGATTGAGTGTATCTGTAATTTTACTATCTTTGATTCTAAACTCTTTATAAAAGCAAAATGTCTTAAATGGAAAGCATATTTGTAGAACAATGAAAACAGCACATAGTGTTTCTTAAAATATTGAAATTAGAATTCCATTAAATGAATCAAAACAAAGGATGGCAAGTAGTATGCATGAATTTTCAAGAGTCTTCCATTTTTGCAAGCTATAGGAAGAAATTACTTGAAGTCTGTAAGTTATAGAGTAGATTGTTGAGGAGCATTTCATGTAATTTCATTGAAGCTTGATAAATTTTATCCACTGTAACTTAGCCACAGACAAAACTTAACCTAAGTATTTTGGTGGCATCTGACCTGTATTCTAGTACATTCAAAATGCATCTTTGGTATTGAGGCTCTTTTCCCTCTTTGCCTAATGGATTTAGCCATGTTGCAAACACACATCTGCTTTGGGAATATCTCTAAGAAAGCTATTAATTATTTAGTAAATAACTTGCAAAATGATATATTCATTCATCCTCCAAATATTATTTGCTATTTTCTTAAATCTTGATATTAAATAATTGACTATCTATACATTTCTAAAGTTCCTATGAATATCTAAAGACATGTACTAATACAGAAAATGTAGCACACAATGCTTTAGCTCTTTTTCTATGCACATAAGCAGAACCGCTAATCCACAGTCCCTGATTTCGCAGTTGTGATAAGATGCCTCAGCAGACCCCGATTAGGATATGTCTATCATTGTACTTAAGGAGGAAGTGATAAGTTAGCTTTTAAGAAGTATCGTAGCCAGTTGGTAACCAGAAAATATTATTAATACAAAGTGACGGAATCGAAAAGAGAAGGACTGGATTTGTAAATGTTTTAAAAATCAAAGGAATTTAAAATGACCTCTGAGGAAAAGTCAAAGAGGACTCAATCGACGGCAAATATTTGTAAGGTGAAATCAATCTCTCCAAATCAGGAAACCGTATATGATCAAATCATGTTCTCTCATGGGTTCTAAATTAACCAAATGATCTGACAATTGTCAATTTAAACTACGGTATGTTTAAACTGCCAAGTCAGATTTTATTGCCTGTTTAAACAGACTTCAAAACTGTGTTATTCTACCTGCCAGGTCTGACTGCCATTTCCATAGGCTTCCATTCCAGATCTTAAGATTTATCCGATGATCTACTTGGTTTATAACTCATTTGCACCACCACGCTCCACAAATTATAAACGTCAACTCATATTTGTCTAATCTTTAAGCTCAGCTCATTATTTAAATAAACATGGAATACGAAGTCACCCATTTGTGACACTCCTGTCCAAGTCATGTTTGGTTTGCTCTGGCAAAACTTCTTTCCCAACCTTAGAGGAATTTGGAAGACAAACTGAAGGGCATAGTTCAGCAGACTAAAATGTTTCTGGATTAAATAATATTATGGGAGATAATTTTCAATGTGGCAGGAGATTCATAAAAGCAGAGTAGTAATCACATCAATAGTATGAATGAACTTTTTTATCAACTAAATTTTACATCCTCAAATGAGTGTTGTCTACCTTCAGCTAGGCACGCTAGAGACTGTACATGTCGTAACATTGCTCCTCTAGCTTAAAACATACATAGGCTTTTAGAATTCCTTTAAGAGCCTAAAGCATATCTTCTAATATTCTCAATGAGGATATTCATTCTTTAAGACTCTACTCCATAGCGCTGTATGTTTGACCAGTTCTTCATAATTTAAAACTCTTTCAAATGAAATAGAGTATCCCATTTGACCTTCCTTACCCCAAGAATGGGCTCATTTTTTGGCCAATAAAAACTGCAACATGGAGGGTTTTTTTGGTTTTTTAAATATGTCTCTGAATGCTTTTCTGAAGTCTTCCATAAGTCTAAAAAACTTTGATCAATGGTAAGATTTTTGAATATGTGTCTACTTTCTAAGAGGACTTAAAGGATAACATCCAAATGAATGTATATATTTTATAATATCACTTATAGCTTTATAGTCATATCTTTCACTTCAATCATTTAAACAAAGCCTTTTGGTTAAATCTTAGTTATTTCTATATAAATTTATGTGATCCTGGAACAGTGTAGTGTTATGTATGTATTAGAGAAGAATCAGTTAACGATTTGAGCTAACACTTATGTGGCTATAGCACCATGATCAGTGCTTTTATGCATAATCTCCTTTGATGCTCCCAATAACATTATCACCTCCACTGTATCGATGAGGATACTGAGGCATACAAATATTATGTAATTTGTCTGGTGTCATACAGCTCAACACAGTCGAATCAGTGGGTGAACTTAATGTCTCCAAATAAACTATATATGATCCTGGTTCAAAGATAGGATAACTCTGGAACAGTCGTAAAGAATCATGAGGTTACCAAAAAAATTACTCAGAGGTACTTTAGGTCTCCAAACTTGGATTTAAAAAACAAGTTCAATTTATTGTATAATTATAATTGTATAATTATAAAACTGCATACTAGTGCAAAAGCATAAAGAAAAGGAAATGTAAATATGAACTTTTTTTCAGTACCAGTCATTGCCCTCCCACGTGTGGAAAACCCATTTGAACACATCAACCCCCCAAAATAAATCAGCTACCAAAAATAAGAAAGAAAATGCACACATTTTACAACTATCATGAAATTCCTTTTCTGTGCAACTGAAGGGTATAAAATATTTCTTTAGCCATAAGGCACAGATGGCATTTAAAAAAAAAAAAAAAAGGAGGCATAGAGGAAGGAAGAAGCAGTGAGGAAGGCAGGGAGAAAGGCAGAAAGTGGCAGAATATTATTTTTAAAGACCTAGATTTGCCTTTTTATCTTCTATTTGTGCAGGAATGTCTTATCAATGAAATAACGTCTGGAGTGTTCTCTTGTCATTAAAGGATAGAAGTTAATAAGCTATTTCTTCCCAAACACTCAGATTTCTCTGAAGTGCTCAATGATGATGCTTTGAAAAGGACTCAATTAATTTATTGCTAATTGTTTTCAATCACTTAAAATATTGTTTCCATCATCATAACCGTTCAGGTACATAAACAATTGTTTCTTCTTCTGTGAATGAATTCAACCTAGACTTTTGTTATTCTATGAGATATTCACAGGGTAGTCTGTGATATTAGTATTTCTTTATATTGCAAAATTTAGTAGCTTATCTAATGACATGGGTTGTATGAAAATTCAGAAATAATTATTAATGTTGTTAAGTATGACTTTGGGCATATCGAGTTTTTCTTTAAATGGAGATTGTTGTATATTAATTATTTCTGATTAAAATATAGATAAAATAACTTGCTCAGGTTGAAAGTCTGCTTTCTTTGACTTTGCTATAATTCCATGGTGACTGAAGTGGTATTATGTCATTATTTTATAAATGCAGATTTAATCTAATACAGTTCTTAAACTATTCACTCTGCTTTCATGTGCAGAAAACTACTAAAGAATTTCTTCACAATATAATTTATCTTCATAGTAGAAACAACAATAATATTTGGAACAGGGAGGGATGGGATGAATATTTCTGGATAAATTTGCACACATGATTCAAGAGTCTCTCACCTTCTTGTACTTACCAACTGTCACAATGGAATCATCTTTACCATGAAAGATAGGAGGTCACACATCCCCCAAATTTTTTCTTTGCCTATATCAAAGATCAAGAGGAAGAGGAAGAAAAGGAGATAGAAGAATTTGAAATCCCACAGAACTAAAAACAGAATAGTAAAGATTTAAAATAGTAAATAAATAATTAAATATTAAGTCAATAGTAAATATTTAAATATTTGACAACAGAAGGGATAGGATTGACCCATAGGACTAATTTGAGTAACCTGGTAACTAAACTAGTAAATCCCTATTTTTATTAGTTTCCATACCCACTTTTGAGAAGCACTGAACTAGAAGAAAGGAAGCATCTTAGAAGGAAAGCGACAGGGAGGAGTCTCTGATTTCCGAGATTACCTAGTGAAGACCAGCAACATAAGAAAGAAAAAGAGCCGATTGCAAGAACAATGCTGTGAGCAGTACAATTTGTGCACATGTCTTATCCTAGGTCTTTAAGAAATCTAGGCACTGACCAGGTGAAGAATTTTCCAACAGTAGCAGTTTCCTCAGAATGAGGTTGAAAGACCCACATAGAACCAAGAAAGACTCCAACTCCATAACTGTGGTCAAAAGACTTCCAGAACACAATTTACAAAGTCACTGTCCTTTTCCAATTCACCATGCAAGTTCATTGTTCTACCTGCTGCCCAAGAACATACCTTCACACCCTATACACATTTTCTTGCTGTTCTATTTTTTTTTTTTAAGATTTAATTTATTTGTTTGTCAGAGAGAGAGAGAGAGCACAAGCAGGGGGAGCTTCAGGCAGAGGCAGAAGCAGGCTTCCTGTTGAGCAAGGAGCCTGATGTGGGACTCGAGCACAGGACTCTGGGATCATGACCTGAGCAGAAGGCAGACGCTTAACCAACTGAGCCACCCAGGTGTCTCTGTTCTATTTCTGTTTTAGTTTCTTATCTATAAAATTGAGTTAAGTGTATCTAACTCAAGAGTTAGAGGACTATATAATGCAACATGTTAGGAATTCTCCTGCCTCACTACACGCCTTAATAATTTATGTTTGTTCCTTTCCCATTAAGGCTTCTGTTCAAATGCACATGTTCCCAGGATGTGACAATGACAAAACATTTAGTTATGGATTCTGCATGTGGATAAGCTTTTGAATTAGCTTGAAATTAAGTAGAGTTTGGGAGGGAAAGGAGAAAAAGTGCAGAGAGAACCTCTCCTGCCTGATTTCATATTTCAAGTTTTGCTTAGCTTCATCCTGGCTACAAGGCAATAATGTTGTTGAAATATATTTTAAAAAAATATATGGGGAGTTAGGGAGTGATCTTGTTTTCATTGATTTTAAAGGGCTGTCTCCCTGACCCAGTGTTTACTTGTGAATTGGTCTCTGTGAACAAATTGAAAATCTCAACCTCCCCATCCTGCTTGAAAGCTTACTTGACCAGCATGTTCGGACCGCCATGTTGGCAACTATCCCTTGGGGCAGAGCACAGCCCAAATAGAGGTGAGAACCAATTGTCAATAAGCAACAGTGCGTTGCTTGATAATGAACTAAGTTTCACCATCAACTTGATATTTCTGAGTTGCCAAATCACTTCCTTAGGTATATGTTGCTAATAAGTGACAAAGCAAGTATTCTAAATTGAATTGAGTCTCAAAATCTTTCTTTCTACTGTACCATCCAGTATCCCATGAGCTCAAAACACTTGATTGGTCAGATGATTAGGATGGCCAACTTGTAGATTTTGAAAGTTATTTTTAATTTTTTTCTTATTACATTTACTTTTATTCCCATGTAGTCTCTCAGATATCTTCTTTTTCTTTTGTCTTTCTTTCATCACAAACTTAGCTCTGGTGATAAGGTAAGCATCCTGAAGAGATTCCATATGCTAGATGCCCTAGTGCGGCCATCTGATAGAGAGATTGGCTCAATCACGGACTTAAAATCAGCCAAAAATGCTGGGGAGACCAGAACAAACATAGCTTCAGAGGTTTCATACTAATTTTCTGTATGACCTCCGGCAACTTCCATACCCTCTTTGAACTACAGTTCCTCATCTGTAAAATAATGTGCTTGAGCTAAATGGGCGATCCCTAAAATCCCTTCTAGATTTCCAGTCTTTAAACAGGAAACCTTGACGAAGCTATAGAGAGCATTTATTTACTTGATATCTTCTGTTAAAACCTACCATTA